AAGAATGAAAAAAGGAATTCTCACTTGGCACCTTTTCATGTTTTACCAGTTTAATACTGCTGGTTCAATGTACATAGTGGTCCAAAATTATCTTTCATATTTTAAAATTTAATAATTAAATATCTAAAGAAATACAACCATGCAGTTTTCAATATCTTGTAGCCCACCTCAAACAATTTTTATTGTCATGTTGTTTTTTTCACTCCAGTGAGTAGTGTTACTCCGTAGCAATCATGCACAAAAAGGCTCAATGCATCATTTGGCTTGCAGAGACGAAGTCAGTGACTGTGGTGCAGCGTAATTACAGACACAAGTACAGGAAAGAACTACCATCCAAACCAACTATTTGGGAGTGGATGAAGAAGCTCTTGGAGACAGGCAGTGTGTTATGGCAATCAGGAGATTGAAGACCCTCTATCAGTGAAGAATGTTTTGAACAAGTATGGTAATCATTTCAGTGTAGTCCAAGAAAATTGCTTTGGCATGCTTCACGAGAAGTTAACATGCCAAAAACATCCCTGCTCCATGTCATTCACAAACGACTTCATCTGCATGCTTACAAACTTCATTTGATACAGGCACTGCAATTAGTGACAGACAACAGCTCAAGACATTTGAATTGAACCTCCTTAACCACATAGATGAAGACAACACATTTCTAGTTCGTGTACTGTTTAGTGATGAGGCTACATTTCATAACCCGAGTAAAGTGATTCATCATACTGTCCGTGTTTGGAGCTCATAAAACCACTGAAATCGTGTGTGATAGCCCAAAGGTGAATGTGTAGTGCAGTCTCACATGTGACAAGATTATTGGTCTTTTCTTTTTCACTCAGAGTGTACTGTTATTGGAAGCATGTACCTTGACATGCTGGAACAAGTTGTGGTCACACAACTGAAGGAAATCCAACCATGGCTAATCTTTCAACAGGATGGTACTCCATCTCACTGTAATTTGTTGGCAATGGATTAGTCGAGGTAGGCCACTTCTGTGGCCTCCACATTTACCAGACATCACTCTACTAGACTTTTTTCTTTGGGGGTATGTTAAGGACATCATGTATCGCACACCTGTAGCAAACATCACGGAACTAAAGGCCAGGATAATGGATGCCATCACCACTATAACTGTGAACATGTTGAGCAAACGTGGACTGAAATTAAATGTTAGACACGTTAAGAGCCACTAATGGTGCACACGTATAATTCTACTGACATGTCAATAAAAATTGTTTTGGTTGGGCTACAAGATGTTTAAAACTACATGGATTTATTTCTTTAGTTATTTAATTATTAAATTTTATAATAGGAAAGCTAATTTTGAACCACCCTGTATTATAAGCAGTCTTTTGATATGGATTCAATAACTTATATCATATAAGGCATAGACCAAACCCACAAAACCGACCAAACAAGCAGTTACAAAACTGTATAGTGTTTTGTTATTCATTACAGATAAAAATACTAAAAATAAAAGACTGTTTTATGATACTTAATATAAGAAATAAAAGACTTAAAATTGAACTTATTCAGATATACATTTGTCCTTGATATTACTTCTTCAACTAACAAAACATCACTGCAGTTGGGTTTTCTTAAACCATAAACTGAATTACAAACTTGAATAAATCACAAGAACTAAAACACATGAAAAAAAAGCGTACCTCCTCCCCCCAAAAAAATATTGTGCTTGAATAAATAAACAAATATTTTGCAAAGTGCTTTAATAACTGTTTACTATGTTTGAAGACTTACCACCAGCAGATAACCTTTCGTTTGGTAAACTAATTTTTGTTTGGCTTTGAGGAGTTTTTTCTCTTTTTGATGAAGAAATATCTAATGGAGGCCTTCCTCTTCCTCGACCCCTGCCACTACCTCTTGGCCTACCCCTACCACGGCCTCTACTAGGGGAAGTATGAGGAAGCATATAAGCCATTAATTTTTCCATATCTAATGTCACTGAACAATTACTCTTATCTGGTGATCGTAAGAGTTGAGAGGAATATCCCAGTGTTTGAAAATTCATCTTGTTGTTGGCTGTGACTATGGTAAAAGTACCGCTGCTAGTAGAATCAGATGTCTGGAAGTCAGAAACAGAAGAATATATATATATAATATCATAATGACAAAAGTACTGTCACACTTCTTTTGGTTTATTTAAAAGCCTTTGCATAATTTTTATTTAGCTCCACTTTTGATTTTGGAGATAAAAGAAAATTTCAATGTGGTTTATATGATTTTCTCATATTTGTTCATAATATATATATATATATATATCAAAATTTTGGCACCAAAAACATTACCCCTCCCCACTTTTTTTCCTTTCATACTAAAAACATTTTTTATGCTAATATTCAGACTAAAACAATTTTCTACAAACCATTT